CTCGGTGCAGGCTCCCGCGGGTCTCGCCTGAGGGACCGGCTGCCGGCCCAACCGGGTCCCGCACCACCGGGCGCAGCGCCTCAGCGCCACCGAAGCCGCGCTGCCTGTGGTCTTCGGCCTCTGTCCACTCCCGCCTCCGAGTAGCTCGTGGCGTCACGGGGGCCACACTGCTGAGATGTCGAGAACCTGCTGAGATGTCGCGTTGCCGGCCCAGGGGCTGCTGGGTGCCAGGCGACGTGCCACATCCATCTGCCCCTGCCCTGAGCCTCCTGCTTGAGAGTTTCAGAAGAGAACCGCCCAGGAGACGGTGTGTGAGGCGGGTGGAATGCAGATGGGGCGGGGCCGTGGCTGGGGGCTCGCGGGCCGTGCCGACCCCAGTGCGTGAGGTCGCCGGGCCTCCCAGACCGCAGAGCCGCGTCTCAGGAGGCTTCCAGCTGGCTCTCGCCTGTGGCCCTGGTCTCCCGTGGAATCTCTGGCCCTGGCCCCTTACACCCTGCTCCTCAGGCTGAGCGGGCTCCTGGGCCCTCCTTGTGTGGGACGGGGCGGTCTGAGAAGGCCGGCTCCGGTCACGACCTCAGAAATGCCTTCGGCTCGGCCTTCCTCCTTGCTGGCAGAGAAGCTGAAGCTCGTGATGCTCACCCACCCACCCAGGCCCCTGCCGGCTAGTGGCAGGCTGGGCCTGGACCCCAGGTATCCCTGGAGGGCTGGAGGACCCCGCATCAGAGCCGCCCGGCACCATACAGTCCAGCACGTCCCAACCCTGGAGCCGCAGCCAGCCTGTCCGGGGGCTCCCGCCGGGCTGTGGCTGGGAGGTGGGAAGCGGAAGGCCGTGGGATGAACTTCACGGCCACCCCCAGCATGACCGCTAACATAGGAGTCAGAGAAATGGACCGTGGACCTTGAAAAGTGGCCTCTGTGGAGACCAGCCTCTGCCCTCCTGAAGGAGAGGGGGGCCGAGGGAGCGAGTCTCACCCGAGGAGGGTGGGTGGGGCAGAGCTTGGCTCTGGTGGCAGCTGGGAGCTACCTGCGGCCTCAGTGGGCCTCCCGTCGGTGGGCCATGACGCGCTCAGCCGAGCGAGCCTGGATGGGGCAGGGGCTGCACGGCCCAGACGGCCAGTTCCTGGAGTTGAAGCTCCCCTGGGGGCTGTGCAGGCTGGCGAGGGGCAGGGGTCTGCCCGTTGGGCTGCAGGGGGAACCGTCCCTCTCCCCCCGAAAGGCGGTCGCTTCACAGGACGCTTTTACCAAGGAGTGAGCTGGCGAGCGGCCTCCTGCTGCCTGTGCACCTGCCTCGGCCTCCAGCCTCCAGCGCCTGTGCCCGTCCTCCTGGCCACCATCTCCTTGCTGGAAGGCCTGGGCTGGGGAAACAGGCTCAGTGAGCACTGGCTTTGCTCAGGCCGTGCGTGGAGGGGAAGCTGGGCAGACTGGCCTTCAGTTGGGACGGGGCGGCTCGCTCAGCTTCTGTGCGAGCACCTGGCCCCTGTCTTCGTGTCAACATCACCCCGCTCTCGTTATTTTGTGTCGACAGACAGATGGAGAGCCCCTGGGGTCAGGATCAGAACCTGGGTTATCTCACGTTTCTGTTGTGTGTGGCACGGTGTCCCATGCGTCCTGCTGCACCCCGTTGCCACGGCACACTGCCTGGGCACGTGTCTGGCCCTGCGCTTGCCACCTGGAGCCGGTGCCTCCACATCTTTACTTAAACTTGGGGAAAGGGCCACCTCTGCCTTCAAGATTTGTTCTGAGGAGTCTATTTTGCTCCTGTGTGTTTGGGAGAAAGCCACATACGTGTATGTGCCGTGCTGGTGTGTGTGCGTGCAGCACTGTAACCAAATCTGGCCCAGAGTAGCCTGTGCGATGGGATGTGTGGCCCCTGGCTCCTTTCCCAAAGATCCGGTGTGTATCCTCTCCTGGACGTGCCAGGGCTGACGCTGAGGTGGCGGTGAGGGTGTCGCCTGCCGTCGCTCACACGTGCGCCACGGTCTCTTCCAGGTGTGGAAGGTCTCCCTGCAGGGCCCGTGCTACATGACGCTGCTGATGACTGCGTGCGGCCTGCTGTGGGGCCACCTGCTGCGGATCAGGCCCGCACAGAGCGTCTTCATCTCCACCTGCTTGTCCTTGTCCAGCACGCCCTTGGTGTCCCGGTTCCTGGCGGGCAGCGCCCGGGGAGACAAGGAAGGTAGGTGGCGCCCACGCTGGGGGTGCGTGCCGGGCGCGCGTGTGGGCGAAGCCCGAGAGCAAGGCTGCAGGGCCGGCTTCCTCCTCGGGACTGTGCTGACAGCTGGCTGCCAGGTCGCTGTCTGCAGGACTCGGCGTCCCTGAGGGCCAGCCTCCCCAGGCCTCCCCCTCTGCACTCGGGAAAAGTACCCGCTGCACGCTCCCAGACTCCGGGGAGATGAGGGCCAGGGGGGGACTGGGCCAAGGCTAAAATAAACCCATCTGCGTCGGGAACGTCCGGTGGAGGTGGCGGGCTTGCAGACGGATGTGCATTGTCCAGGGCTTTAATTCTAGGGAGTCCTGGAAACTGATGCTCTTCTATACTTTCTTCCTATGAAATCAAGGTGCTTTGGCAATTAAAGCTATTTTCCCCTCTTAGACTATGTTTTTTCTTTCGCCTACATGTGTGAACAATTGCTTCTCACCGTCTTTGCTTTGTTTTGTGAGATCAGACTTGCACAGAAGCTTGAGCGTGGCATCTGAGCTGCCACGTGGTGGCACTGTCTTCCACGCGGTGGAGCGCTGACAGTGTTGCTGTTGGTCACAGCTTGCTCATTCATTGGTCAGTTGTCACTTTTTTTGTAAAGGTCAGTACAATAAGGGGTCAAAACGTCAGAGTCACGTCACTCTGATACTCACCATGTACCGAACACACAGGAACAGAAAACACGAAAATGGAGCACTGAAGAGATGTGGCTGTCCTCTGCAGCAGACTGACACTCAGTGCCAGAACCGAGGGTCTTGCACAGCGTGGGCGGGGCCAGCGTGGGCAGAGCTGCAGGGACCTGCTAGCCCAGAGCCCCACGGGGCCCCAGTAGGCATTCATGGAGGACCTGGGGCTGGGACGCTCCCACTGTGAAAGGATCTGAGAAAACTTAAGAATCTGCTGCCTTCCGTGGGACCTGAGGGCCCAGTGGACGCAGGCAAAGCCTCCCCGCTAGCGATTGGACTTGCTATCCCAGCTGTGGGCTCACTCGGTGGTCCAGGCCTCCCTGGTCAGTCCATCCTGAGAGGCGGATGGGACTGAGGGTCAGGGGCCAAGTGAGATGGAACAGGACCGTGCAGGGACCAGTCATGAGTCTGAGAAAAACTCCTGACTCAGTGGCCTGCACACAGAACACCCACACCTACGGAGAACCCTGTGGTCTGAAAAGACAGCCATCAGACTCAGCAGGCACCATGTGAGCTCCCCTTGTTGACAGACGTGCTTAGTAACAGCTTCACAGTAAACCTGTGCGGCTGGCAAAGATGGCTGTTGGACAAGTCGTGGTGTGAGCTCCCAGGCTGACAGACCGGCCTGTGTTAATCTGAAGCAAGGCCCCATGGCTCTGAGACTGATGATGGTGTCGTGGGGTGCATCCCGCTCTGCCAGGCGGGGCAGAGCATGGAACGGGTGGACGCCCAGACGTGCGGGGACGGGAGAGTGGGTGGTCGGCAGGTGAGAATCGGCCGTCCTCAGGGAAGAAAGTAAAGTCAGAGCCCCACCTCGAGCCACTTAAAAAAATTCAGTGCTAATCCAGTCCTCTTATACCAATACCAAGCTGTTTTGTACCCCACAATATCATAATAAAAAATATTGATTATAAAAAAAATTCAGTTCTGCCTGGATCGAATGCCTCAGTATGAAGAACAAGACTTTAGGACTATTAGAGGAACTTGGGGAAGGTATCCCTATAACTTTAGGGTAGAGAGACTTTCTTCAAATATGAACTGCAGAACCCAGAGAGAAAATATTGATAAATATGGCACATTAAACTTTGTAGCTTTTACTAAAAGGCATTTTTTTAATAAGCCACAGGCTGGGGGAAGACATTTCCTATACACAATATGTATATGCACATAAGTATGCATATGCCTATAATAAGCAGAGGATTAACATTCAAAATGTATTAAGAACTTGTATAAACCCAAACAAAAAGGAACCTAATAGGGAAATAGGCAGAAACGTCTAAGCAGATAACTCGTGGCTGGAGAAACCTGGGTGCTAGATGAACACGAAAAGATGCTGGTCCTCACCTGACGCTGGTCGCAGGGTGGCGCTGCTCGTGTGCTGTCTCCCGCTCGCCAGCTGGCCGGAGGTAGCCTGAGGTGCCACCGTCACAAGTGCGGGGTCCCCAGAGCTCCTGAGTGCTCGTGTGGGTGTGTGTGGGGTTCACCGCTCTGGGAAGAGCTGAAGCAGGAGATTCCATTTCTACACGTAGCCTGGGACATTCTTGCACATGTACAAGAATATTCAAAACAACGTTATTTTTAACAGCACAGAGTGGACAGGTAGCCAAGGGTTCAGTTGTGTGCTGGGTGATTAAATGATGGCGTGTGCATTTGGTGGAACACTGCAGAAGCAAACGTGGCTTGACTTTGTAGCCTTGAGGAAAAGGTGCGAGGTGCTGCTACGATGTCTGGCGTGAGAGCGCGTTTGCAGCCTCTGAAACATGCAGGCCGTCGCTGAGGGTGCAGACGTGGCTCTGCTGGGGAGGGGGCGCAGCGGAGAGGGGCCCGGGCAGCTCCTACAGCGGTGTCTCTGTCAGAAGCTGCTGTGGGTGCCCGTCGCGTTTGGCTTTGTACCTTTGCTCTTCAGCCAAAGTGCTTCACCGCAATTGCTTTACAGTTGTGCTGGAGAAGGAGACGCAGCCTGTAGTTTCCTGGCTCTGCTGTTCTATGACTGCGGTTTTTATGGTGAGCTTTGACACCAGGATATGCGAGTCCTCCAGCTTTGTTCTTTTCAGGACCGTCCTGGTCGTTTGGGGTCCCTTGAGGTTCCTCTCTTTCTTCAGAAGGCTTTGTTGGGCTTTTGCGAGGAGTCGCCTTGCAGTTGTTTGGTTAGTGTCGTCATCTGAAGGTGTGTTCCTCCTATATTCTGTGACTAGGGTGCCTTTCCGTTCCTCTGTCTTCTTCCACTTGTTTCCACAGTGCTCTGACACTTGACACACAAGTCTTTTGCATCGTGGGTTGACTTTACTCCTATGTATTTTATTCTTTTCGCTCTATTGTAAATGGAACTGTTTTCCCGGTCACCTTTTTAGGTGGTTTGTTGTTGGACAGAAGTGCAGCTGGCTTTTGTGTGTAGGTTTTGAGCCTGCAAGCTTGTGTAGTGGCTCGTTAGCTCTGCCAGGTTTTCCGTGGGGAACCTTTGGGGTTCTCTGCGTGTGAGATCATCACATCTGTGTACATGGTCATTCATTCTTCGTCTTCCACTTAGACAGCCCCTGATCTCCTGGGGTGCATGCTGAGATTTGTGACGAGTGGGACGGAGGCTGGTATAGGAAGCAAGACTAGTCCGGTTGGTCACTGACACTGCAGTGTCTGCTCTACAAGAGGTGTTGTGTTCTTGCTATTCCTGCACACGCTTGGAGATGATTTTTATTAAAAATTCCTGCATAGCCCAACTTAATGCAGTCCCACTGGAGTTTAAAGCTCTCCACACTGGCTACATCAGAAGGCTTAGTCACTCTTCTGGGTAGATTTTGGTCCAAACCCTGCTCCTTTGAGCCAATAGGTCAGATATGGGGCCCACACCCTCAGGGGGGTCCTGTACACAACTGCACTCTGTTGTGCCTGCGTGGAGCCCACAGAAAGGCGCACCGGGGCGTCCGGCGGCTAGAGGTCAGGGTCCGGCCTGGTCCTGAGGAAAGAAACGGGGGCTGTGTGTATGGCAGCGCCAGGCCTCCCGAGACCCCGTCTTAGCCCCGCCGGAGATGCACCTCCCACCACAGGCAGCATGACCTCCAGCGGCCTCCCAGGCAGGGCTGCCCGGCAAAGCTCAGGCCTGCAGGGCACCCCGAGACCAGTTGCCGCGTGTGAGCGTACCGAGACCGAGGAGTGCTGGTACGCTCCTTGGTCCCCAAGGAGCACCCTGGCCTCTTGGGAGTAGCCAGGCCAGTGGGTCAGCCGAGAGACTTGCATGGCCGGGGAAGGGCCCTTCATGGGAGGATGGTCAGTAGGTGGAATGTTCACTGCAGCTGGGTCTGTGCCAGCGGGAAACGGGACCCTGACCATCCATCCAAGGCTACATTGTGGCATACTCTGTGGCATTTCAAGAAGCACCAGGGCTGTGCATCGGCGTGGGTGATTTCCAGGAATGATGGTGACCAACAGAGCCAGTGGCAGAAGCGTTGTTCATGAGGCTTAACATGACAGCGTGGTCACCTCAGTGTTGTTTCCGAATAGACAGATGTTCAACTGGGCAATAAACACTGAAAGTGAGGTCAGGCGGGCATGTGGGAGGAGGAACGGGCGGCCCAGTGGCCAGTGGCTCAGCAGGCTCTCCAGTGGCGTCTGTGGTCTTCTCTTTCCTTTTGGAACTCTGAAGAGACTATGTCAAAAGGTTAAAATTTAGCAAAATGGAGTAGTGGGTAAGTTAAGTGGGCATTTGTTTTTGTTTTCTTAAACTAGAGATGGGCTCCTGATATGTGCCCAGGCTTTTCAAGCAGTTCTCCCATTTCAGCCTCCCAAAATGCTAGGATTATAGGCAGGAGCCGCCACACCCAGCCTGAGCATTTGCTATATTACTTATTTTCTGTACATTTAAACTGTTTAATAGAAGGAATGGGAAACAGGAAAAAAATTAAAATGCTCATAGCAGTGACAAGCACAAGAATTAAACAGCCACAAAGTGGAAACAAGATGAAAATGTTCAAGTGGCACGTCTGTAAGTCTTGACATTCTGGGGTGGTCGTTACTCTCATCTCGTCTGGTCACGCTGTTTAACGTCATGCCTGTCATCACTGTCAACACTGGTCTTTCTTCCGCAGCTCAGTGAACTCCTCGTGAACGTTCCTGTGCAGGCGCCGTGACGCGGACGCGGCCCTGGTGAAGAGCCGTATCTGGTCGGTGGCGCCTGCGGCCCAGGGAGCGCGGTTGCGGGTTGGGCAAGGCCAGTTCCTTGTGACTGGGGCAAAGGCTGAGGTGCCTTCAAGATGCTGGCAGCTGTTCCCAGGGCTCTGGCTGAATGGGGGCTGCCTCAAGGGGTTTTATGTTCCCCTTGGATAAAGAAGGGGCGTGGCTCGCAGCGCACTGGCCTGTGGGAGGCAAAGGCAGGGCCTCCCAGCCAAGCCTGCCAGGTCCCGAGAGCCACGAGCCCTGGTGACACGGGGGGAGTCACCACTGGTGAAGCTCCGTGCCTTCGGTGCTGGGGGCGTGAGTCCGTCTTCACCATCTGCTGGACTGTGTAACCCTCGAAGGTGCAGCTCTGTACAGCAGCCTAGTGTGATCATCTGTTTGGGATGTTTCAGCATTCTGAGCCAAGATACTGTGTCCACCCCAAGTCTAATTCTGTGCGATGAGCAAATCAGCCTCCTGAAAGGATTACCTGGGCTTCTGGTCAAAGTGAGGCTTTTGCCAGCTGTGAGGCTGTTTGTGTGGTTTCGCTGCTTTTCACATATACCACTTCTGTCCCATCAGTTGTTAAAAATCTGTGAATAGCAGTAGCTTCTGTTTTTTAAGGAAAAACACCTTGTTTTGGCTTGGTGGTGGGAGAGATGACAAGTTAATTCTTAGAACCATATTTAAGGGGTCCGAAGCTGAGCTGGGTGTTGAAATAGACACCATGGGAGGGCGCACAGGATTGAGGTCAAGAGAACTTACCCTCATCCTTTAATATTTGTTTAGTCCCTTCAGCCACCCACGGTTGCTGCGGCTCTATCCTGTTTTGTCCTGTGGTCTCCTGAGCTAGTGCTTTTCCACTGACTCTGCGTGGGTCTCCTAGGAAGATACGGGGCGAGGAGGCGAGGGTGGTGTCACACGTGGAACAAGGACCCATGAGCAGTGGTTCTGTGTCCAGCGTCCCTGCGGTAGCTGAGGAAGGCTGTGAAGGCCAGCACAAAAGTGGCTTCATGCATTTGTGCGCGTGGCCTTGGTGTGATTCTCCTGGGCCAGGCCGTCTCTGTGTGACCACGCTTCCCCGTGTGAGACGGAGAGCGAGTGGAGAGTGGAGGGGGATGCTGAGCCGCCTCCCGACGCTCTCCATCCCCACCTGCTGCCGGGCTTCCCCTCTGAGGGCGCTGGGGTCTCGCAGAAGGGGCTGACTCAACTTGACTCGTCCGGCGACAGTGAGATGTGCGCGGGCTCGGGCCCTCGGCCGGCTGTGACCCGTGTCTCTGTCTTCCCTGCAGGGGACGTGGACTACAGCTCGGTGCTCCTGGGCATGCTGGTGATGCAAGACGTGCAGCTGGGGCTCTTGGTGGCCATCATGCCCACGCTCATCCAGGCGGGTGCTGGCTCCTCTCCCAGGTGAGCACCGCGGGCTGCCGTTTCCGCTGGAGACCCCCGTGCCTCCGAGGCTCCTGAATCCCTGTCTCCGAGGAGCGGCTGTGCGCGGAGGCCCGGGGTCCGGGCTCCGTCCTGGCTCTGTGCCTGCCCCGCCCCGCCATTCTGCTGTCCATCACACCTGCTGGGTGGGTGGGAGCAGCTCGTGGGTTCAGAGGTACACGAGCTTGGAACAGTGCCCGGACACACCATGTGACGTGGGGGGGTCTGTGTATGTGGGGGGCGCGTGTCTGTGTGTGGTGTGTTTGTCCTGTGACATGCCTGTGTATGTGTGGTGTGTGATCTGTATGCATGTGTGTCCACATATGTGTAGCCTGTGCATGGTATGTCCCATGATATGTCTGGGGGGAACATACCTGCGTTTTGTGGGTGTGTGTATGTGTGGTATCTACAGGAGTGTGCCATCTGTATTACATGTACACATGTGTGTGGCACGTGTGTGGTGTTTGCGTGCATTGTCATACGTGCGTGCACACACATGTGTAGTCTGCACACATGTGGTAGGCGCGTGTGAGTGTGTGTGAGAGCCCTCACTGTGTGGGCCCCCCGGTCACTGTCATCCCCACGGCCACTTCCCCTTCCCTCTCTCGTTCTCCTGCCAAGCCTGGATTGCGCTTGCTTGGGGTCACGTGGAGAGAGAAGCCGATGGGAGAGGAACTGCTCAGCACGGGCGACTGTGCGTGGCACCACACATCGCAAGAGCACAGACTGGCCAGCTGCCAGTTGCAGCAGCCTGGAAACCGTGGCAGGCAGGGATGTCAGCCGCGTTGGTTCTAAGCCGGTTCACGGGCACCTGTGCACATCAGAGCTGCTCTGTGGGTCTCTGCAGACGCAGCGCTCGTTGCGTTTCTCACGGTCGTGGAGCGACCGCACAGAAGCCGGGGACTGTTCTGGGAGTTCCGTGGAGCCCACGGGAAGTGCTGCGACCTGTCTCTGGTGCAGCTTTGTTCCCCCTTTGACTGTGTGCCTCTGCTTCTCCTTACCTTACAGCCTGGCAGAGATTTCCAGTACTTTGTGGAATGGTGGCATCGGGAGACACCTTTGCCCCGTTCTTGCCTTCAGGGAAGCCTTCAGGCTCTCACCACGAAATGGGATGTTAGGCATCGCTTGTGGTCGCGGCTCTCTGTCAGGTTGAGGTCATTCCTTTCCATTCTTGGTTTGCTGAGAGTTTTTATCACGAACGGTGGCAGATTTTGTCAAAGGCTTTCTCTCCACGTGATTTTTTGTGTTTAGCTAGTTGACACGGCGGATACCACTGATGGATTTCTGAAAGCTGAACCTCATGTGTGGAGTAAATCCCACTGGGTCTAGTTTGTAATTGTTGTTGTCCGTGGCTGCGTTCAGTTTGCTCACTTGTTGAGATTTGGGGGTCCACGTTCATGAGAGAGGTTGGTGTGCAGTTTTCTCTTTCTGTATGCTCTTTGTCTGCTTTTGGTATTAGGTGCCTTACTGCGTTCATAAAACGATCTGGGAAGTACTCTTGCTCTCTGTTTTCTGGAAAACACTGTATAGGATTGATTCTTCCTTAACGTTTGGTAGTATTCTCTAGTAAAACCCTCTGAGATTTCTGTTGGGGGAATATTTTTTAAATCACAAGTTGAAGGTGCTTAGTAGTTGCAGCGCTTTTCTGAGCGTCTCCTCCATCTCCTTGAGCTGTGGTGGTTCAGCTTTCCAGGGGTTTGCTCCGTTCTGTCTCTGTCATCAAGTTTTTGTGTCTAGAGTTGTGGGCAGTGCTCCTTCACACCCTTCTGACGTCTGCAGGGTCTGTCATGATACCCCGTTTTGTTCCTGGTATCGGTCGTCTGCATCTTGTCTCTTTCTTCTTTGTCAGTCCTGCTAGGAGCTTGGTGACTTTATTAATCTTTTCAAAGAACCAGGTATCTGTTTCACTGATTCTTCTCTATCTTTCTGTTTCCAGTTTCATTGCGTTCTGCCCTTTATTCGTTCTTTCTGCTTGCTTTGAGTGTATTTTGCTCTTCTTTTTCTAGGTTCTTGTGGTGTGAACTCGGGTGACTGACTTGAAACCTTTCTTCTTTCCTACTGTAGCCATTTAGTGCTGCAGGTTTTCTTCTGAGCGCTGGTTTAGCTGCTGCTCATATTTTGATATGCTGTATTTTTATTCAGCTCCATGAATTTTAAAAATTTCAGCTGATACTTCTTTTTGACCTGTGGATTGTGGAGAAGTGTTGCTTAATGTCCACGCATTCAGGGGTTTTCCAGTGGCCTTTCTGTTGCAGATTCTAGCTTGATTCCATTGTCAGCAGTGAACACTTTGTATGATTTCTTAAATCTGTTGCGGTGTGTTTTATGGCCTGTGAGGTGGTCTGTGGTAAATGCTCCCAAGTCACCTGGGGGGCGTGTGTCCTGCTGTTGGTGGTGTTTCCTGTTCGTCTCCTGAGTCCTGTTGGCTCATTGCCGTGTTCCTGCTGTAGTTGGATCAGCTGTCGAGGGAGTGGTGTTGAAGTCCCCAGTTATAACTGAGTATTTTCCTAGCTCGATTTGGTTTTGCTTTTGTATTTCAGGGCTCCTTTGTTTGGTGCATACATATTCAGGGCCATGTTGTCTTCCTGGGGTCTCATTTTATCATCGTTACGGGAGATCTCTGTTCCTAGTAATTGCCTTGCTTCGTATTTCACTGTATCTGATGTTTCTACAGTGATTCCTGCTTTTTTTGAATGGTACCTGACATGGTGTATGCTCTCCGTACTTTCAACCTGCCTATGCCGTTCTACTTGAAGTGAGTTCCTTGTAGACATCAGTGGTTGGGTGATGTCTTTTCTAGTCCACTCAGCCAGTCTCTGGCTTTTAGTTGGTATGTTTAGATCATTTATGTCTCAGGTAAACATGGATGTGTTGGGACTCAAGTTTGCATTTTATCACCTGTTTTCTGTTTCTTGTTCCTCTCTTTTTTCTTGCATCCCTGTGGGCTATTTGCATATTTAGGGGTTTCATTTAGATTTGTTTGGATGTTTTTGCGCACACTGCTTTTTGCAGTGAGTGGTTTCTGTAGGGACTGGGTAGACACATGTAACGTGTTGCGGTTTGCTGGAATCCACCTTGACCACCTGCTGAGGGTATGGAAACCTTGTTCTCATGTAGCTCCCTCTCCCACCTGCTTCCCACACGCAGTCTTGACCCACACGGTGATGTCGGGGCAGTGGCGGGCGCACACGTGATGGTGCTCCCACACAGGTGTGGCGGAGCGGGAGGGCGCCTGCTCTTGGGGGTGGCACAGCTGGCGTAGCATCCTTGTGCGGTGTGGTTCTCACACGCTGGGGGTGATGCTGGTGCGAACAGACCTGCTGCACTGCCCGCCCTGTGCACATATAGCACATGCAGTCACGGCAGCCCTTAATACTGAGACGGAGGGACGGATGCATGGATGGAGAGGTCTTCCGGAAGAAGGAGTTGTTCTCACAGACCACGGCTTCATGTGTGGTACTGCCCTGAAGACCTTCCAGTGGGATAAGATGTGGAGGTGTGACACTGATGATCTGACCCTGTGTAGACCTTGGCTCGTGTGTAAGTGTTTGCGTCTTCATTTTTTTTGTTGTTGAGTCAGAGTCTCACTCTGTCACCCAGGCTGGAGTGCAGTGGTGCGCTCATGGCCACCCCAGTATTGACCTGCTGGGCTCAGGTGATCCTTCCACCTCAGCCTTCCTAGCTGGAACTACAGGCATGTGCTACCATGCCCGGCTAAGTTTTTGATATGTAGAGATGAGGTCTTGCCAGGTTGCCCAGGCTAGTCTTGAACCCCTGTGCTCAGGCAATTCTGTCGCCTCAGCCTCCCCAAGTGCTGGGATGACAGGCTTGAGCCACGATGCCCGGCCTTGTATCTTTATTTTTAACAACAAAAAGTTTAAGAAGTAAAAAAATAGGGAAAAAAATTGAAATAGTAAAAAGCTTATAAAACAGGATATAAAGAAAGAGCATTTTTGTGCGGCTGCACAGTGTTTGTGTTTCAAGCTAAGTGTTATTACAAAGGAGGCTGAAAGTTTATAAAGTAAAAGTTACAGTGAGCTAAGCTTAATTTATTGTTAAAGAAAGAAGGATGATCTAATAGCTAGCGCAGCCTCACGTACGGTGTGTGTGAAGTCCGCAGTAGAGCGCAGCGCTGTCCTGGCCTCACACTCGCCCTCACTCCCTGACTCACACAGTGACTTCCAGGCCAGCAAGCGCCACTCACGGCAAGCGCCCTGGACAGGTGGACTGGACCTCGTCTTTCGTATCCTGTCTTTTCCGCACCTTTTCTGTGTTTTGATGTGTGTAGCTACACGAGTGCTTACCCCGGTGGCACAGCTGCCCGCAGCATCCAGTCCAGCCACGCACTGTGCAGGCGTGTGGCCTCGGGACCCCCGACTGTCCCGCGCCTGGGTCTGCCGTGGACAGGCCATCCAGGCATGTGTCAGCTCACTCCGATGCTCACACAGCAGCGAGCTCCCCTGGCAACGCAGCTCTCAGCACCTGCCCCTCGGAAAGCAGCACGTGACTGAGCGGTCGTCGGATTCGCTCTGTGTGCATCGACACTGCAGCAGGTGGTGTTGCAGCTCTTGCTTCGGCGCTCAGACAGCGCTCTCAACCCTCGTGAGGAGCAGGGCTGCCTGCTGCACCCACGCCGCCGCTCCCTGCTGGTGTCCTGGGCCTCCGGAGGCTCCAGGCTGCCTTCGTCGGGAGAATGTCCTTTGGCCGTTCTTTCCTGGCTACTCTGCGGCAGCAGCACGCTCCCCCTGTTCTTTTTGCCATCTCTCCTCACCCTGGACGTTCTCGCTGGACGGGGACTTGGCAGTGGGCGACTCTTCTTTTGGTGCGAGCAGCGTGGTGCCCACTCTCCGGCCCCTGCCGGGATGTGAGCCCGCTGCAGTTCCGAGGGGTGTTTCTCTCTCACGAGTGGTTTCTCCCCGGCTGCGTCCCAGACTTGTCCTTTGTCTTCAGCTCTCAGCAGTGGGGGCTGTGTCTCAGCATCGGCGTCTCTGGGTGTGTTCTGGGCCCCTTGGCATCTTAGCCCTGTGGGGCTGCGTCTCTTGCCCAGGCGGGGAGTTTCCAGCGGGGCTTCCTCAAGTGCTTCTCCAGGTCCCCCGGTCTTTCCCTGGGGCTGCAGAGAAGCAAGGGCGTGCTTTCCTGGCACACAGGCTCTTCACCCTCCCCATCTCATGCTCGCTGCTGTTCAGGCTGGTGAGCTCTGCCCACTGCCCTCGGCCCGCCGATTCCATCCTCTGCCATCTCCACTCGGCCTGCCCATCTCCCAAGGGTTTCGCTGTCACCCAGGCCAGGGTGCAGTGGCGCGGTCACAGCTCACTGCAGTACCGAGCTCCTGGGCTGAAGGGATCCTTTGGTCCCAGCCTCTTAAGGAGCTAGGACCACAGGCGCCACCACGCCAGTTGGGGCTCCTCTGGGCGTCCGGGAAGATGTGTGGGCCTCTGTGGAGAGGGGCGCGCTGGGCGGTCGCTGGGGCTGCGGAGGATGGTGGCCACAGTGCTGGGGCAGTGAGCACGATCCTGTGCCTGCCAGGCCATGGCCGCGGGCGCCCCTTGCTCCACAGGCTCGAGCCTTCCGGAACGACGCTGGCGCTCCCCGGCTCGTGCCACGCGCCCCTGTCGTCCATCCCGTCCCCCTGCTGCAAGCCCCGCCCTGTCCTCGCTCCCCCAGGGCCCAGTGGCAGCTTGAGGTTTGCTGGAGCCAGACTGCAGTGATGGGTGCTCGTGGGGGCCAGCGAGGTGTCGTCCACAGAAGAGAGCCCTGAAACCCGCGTTTCGGGCTGGAGAGTGGGTGGCTGTGCTTCACGTGCGTGTGTGTCTGTCAGGCCGCCGACGTGCTGCGGGGCGTTTCTTGTGGAAGCCCGTGGGCTGAGACTCCCACAGGCTGAGGTCTGGATGGCACGTTCTGAAGGGAGCTCCGAGCGGTCGCTCTTGGTGTCCAAACGCCTGACTGTAGGCCTGTAGACCAGGGATTCAGGGATTCAGAATCCAGGGTTCTGGCTGGGACTGGGCGGATTTTGCTGAAAGTCGCTGGGATCCAGTCGCCTCTGTGGTGAAGCGGCAGTGTGACGTTAAGGGTGGCTCTTGCCCTGCAGAGGGCGTCAGTGGGCCGGTCCTGACGGCAGTTTCCGCTTCAAGTACCGCGTCCCAGAAGGGCTGTCTGCTCCAAGGTGAAGGTCGCCAAACAGCCCAGCCTCACGCTTGAGGCAAACCCTTAGTTTCTGAGATGAGTGTGTTCATAGGTCTTATTTTAGTATTTCAGAATCAAATGTGTACGCTGCGGGTGATGCACCTCGTCACGCCTTGAAGAAAGCACGCAAGATCTCGTTGGAGAACGAGGTCTGCAAGGGAAGTGACGCGCCTGTCTTTTGTCTCCCAGCGTTGCCGTGCAGGTTCTGCGGGTCCTGCTCTTGGCCGGACAGGCTCTGCTCTCGCTGGCCGCCGTCCTTCTCGTGTGTCTTGTCGCAAAGGCGTACCTCGTGGGACCCTGCTACCGGAAGCTGCACGCGGAAAGCAAAGGGAACAAGGAAATCCTCCTCTTGGGGATGTCTGCCTTCGTCTTCTGCATGCTAACGGTAACCCTCAGATTCGCCTTGTCGACCACCTGGCCTACAGGCCTACAGTCTGTGTCACCGAAAGCTCGGGATCCCTTCTTTTCGCTTTAATAAGGGTTAAGGCATTTGAAGCGCTCCTCGTACTTTTAATTTCGTCCCATTGGTTCATGATCCAGGGGCCGAGCCTGTTCACCCGTTGGGACTCACACTCGTAAGCACTTTGCTAAAGTCTTACTTGTCATTAAAAACAAGTCTGTGGTCACAGAAGCCACACCAGCACCCCCCCACACCATGTTCCTGTCTTCACCCTTCAAACGGCTTTGCACCTGGAATGTAAGATTCAGTTTTCCAAACCCAACTTCCAGTTGCTTGATGACGACACGCCGGTTGACGGCGTTCGCTCCCGTGGCCTGATGTGAAAGGTGCCGGGGTCCTTTGCGGACAGCAGCCTCCCGTTCCCGAGAGGAGGGCTCCCTCGGGAGAGGGCTCCCAGACTCCGCGATGGTCTGAGCCGCGTGGCTGTGTCACCTCTGCCTTCACCAGGTGGCCTCAGTGGCAAGCCTTGCTGCTACCCCAGAGAACAAAGACCTGCTCACGGGAACCCACACACAGATGGCAACAGCAGCCAGAGCAGTCCACAGTCCTTCAGTGGGCGAATGTTAAGCTGTGCCACGTCCACACCGTGGACGCTGCCCGCCATCAAGCCCCCGGCACACCCCGAGGCGGGGTGAACCCCAGAGAGCTGAGCTGAGTGAGAAGCCGCCCCAAATCCTGTGTGCCGTGTGGGTCCGTGTTGCAGCGTCCACAGAACGGCAGTGTTTCAGAGGTTGAAACGCGACCGGAGGCCGGGAGGGCTGGGCGGGCCGGGCCTGCAGCCAGAGTTCTGCCCCCCCCGCCCCTGGCTCCGGGTCCACCTCCTGCTGGGGCACTGTGCCGTGGTTTGGCAAAGTGGCGCCACGGGGTCACTGAGGGCATGTGAGGCCTCGATTTCTCCCTGCTGCTTAAAACTGTGTGTGAAGGGGTAACTGTCTCAAAATAAGAAGTCTCCCTCTTAGAAAGCAAGTTAACACAGTTATTTTGTGTGTGGCTTGCCGCCTGCTAGCATTGTGTAGTCTTGGGGGGAGACTGACTTGCTTCTGCTCCTGATGGCTGCACCTGTCTCCAGGGTGCGACTCATCTAGATTTTTGCACGGCTTTATCCATTCCAGAGAATTTTCTCTTGGAAATGACTCCCAGTGGGATCGTGCTGTCTGGGCGCCTCCCCGGGGCTCCATGGGTCAGGGCGGTTCTGCTTGCTGGCCCCCAGGCTGCTTCTGCGCCCGCCGGGCGACAGCACTGAGCCCGCCGCTGTGCTTATCAGACACGCTTGCAATTTCTCCCCTTGCTTGTGGTCACGTGGTGTTCCATCGTGTGACTGTGGCAGTGTGTCCTTCCTGCCATGGGATGTCGGGCCTGCTTCTGCCTAGAGCCCACGAGAGTGAGGCTGCTGCCTGTTCCACACGGGTTTCTGAGATGTTGCTAGACGTGGTTGCCCGTGCTCAGCCTGGCGGTCGTTGCTTGCCTGGGGACTTGTCTGGCTTACACGCCGACATGTGCGAGAGGCTCGTGGCTCTGCACCCTGCCAGTGCTGGCTGTCGGGCAGAGCGGCATCTCACAGGGCAGGATGCTCATTTCCTGGCGAGGCATCGGCCTCTGGGTGTCCTCCCTGGCACGTGCCTGCCACGGCCTCCAGGTCACCTCTTGGGGGGGACTTTGTATTCGCTTGCAGGAATTCTTTATCTATTCTGGCAAGCTTTTTGCCAGCTGCTTTACTTGGAGGAGACGTGTGTGTTCGTGGTGACAGCGTGGGTGCCCCTCCCCCTTCGCCATCCAGGGGTGACGTTTTCTTCTCCCCGAGAACTCCGAGCTCCTGGCCCTCCCTGCCCCCGTGGCCCCGACCTGTCTCCGCCCATGTGTCTGCGGCCCAGGCTGCGGGTCTCCCTCCCGTTCCGGGCCGGCACCTCCCTGTGGCTGGATGGCGTGCCGCGTTAGCGCCTCTGGTGGCTACTCTGGCTCGGGCCTCCTCTGCCCAGCGTTTTTCCGTGAACAGAAGCGCTTCGCTGTGGTGTCATCTGTGACCAGCCGTCTTCTTCATGGTTGGCACGGTGTGTGTTCTACATAAGGTCTTGGCCGCCCCGAGCCGTGGGCGCTCTCAGTCGGGGTCCAGAAGGCTCCTGCGTCGCCTTCCCCGTGTGGGCCTGGGCCATCAGGGTGAGCTTCGTGTCTGCAGGGAGTCCATCTTTTGCTTCTTTTGGTGCGCTGAGGCCTCTGGCCTGTGCTGCAGGCTCCCCTGTCAGAAACCAAGTGACTCTATGTGCATGTGTGTGAGCACGTGTGTGTGAGCACGTGTGTGGTATGCTTGCATGCGTATGGACACTGGTGTGTGGGAATGGGTGCCTTTTGTGGCGTGTATACGTGTATGGTATGTGCACGCTGTGTGCATTGTGTGTTCTCTGTGTCATGTACCTGTGTGATGTGCTTGCATGTGTGTTTGCTATGCGTGTGGCATGCGCATGTGTGTGATGTGCACATGTGTGCTGGTGTGTGGCATGTGTGTTGTGCACGTGTGCATCTCCCTGACTCCTGCCCCCCGACCCCTGCTGCACCGTCGCTTAGCCTTGTTCTGTGTCAGGGCCGTCGTGGTGGTTGTGTCCTCCACTGCCTTGTGAGCGTCTGGTCAGTGGGCTGGTTTTCCTGAGTGCAAGAGGAGGGCGCGCTGACCCCACTTTGCTGCAGGCTAAGGCTCGTGGGCATGCAGTCAGCCTCTGGCATGTCTGGCGGACTGTGCCGGTCTCCTGTGGGCCAGTCCCTCGGGGTCTGCTGCCCTCTGGCTGCTGTGAGTGGTCTCCTCTGGACGTCCGTTCCCGCCAGGCTGCCGCTGCCGTCTTCCTGGCTTTACTGCTTCCCAGTGAGCGGCGCCCTTCACGCTGTTGTGCATGAGGAAGGCCACGCCAGGAGCCTGTCCTGGCCATGCATCTGCAGGACGGCAGCGAGGCTGAGTGGCCGGCACTGCCCTCTGGTCTGGCCACATGGCCGCACTGCCGGGCCCGGCCGTCCTGGACACCGCTGTCCAGTTTGCTCTGGCTGCAGCCTTGGCTCTGGCTTGGGGCTGGCAGTGGAACAGGCTTTCGTGGCCACGTCAGGTGTGTTGACTGGAGGTGAGGAACACATCCCACAAGGACTCGAGGCGAGGTTTTGAAAATGCTCTCATTCAGGAGCAGCCCACACGTGTGTTCTGGATATTTCCATCGTTTTTGCCAGGAAACGTGCAGACCCGGCACAGGCCCTTGGGACCCCACAGGCCTACGCGCCCTGACCAGCTGCCTCGCGGCCTGGCTGAGGGGGTCTGTGGTGTCCTGCGTGGGGGAGCCGGTGTGTGGCCCCACGCGAGCGCTGTCCTCCCTCTCCCGCAGGCCACGGAGCTGCTGGATGTGTCCATGGAGCTGGGCTGCCTCCTGGCCGGCGCACTTGTGTCCTCCCAGGGCCGCATGGCCACCGAGGAGGTGGCCGCCTACGTTGAGCCGGTCCGCGACTTCCTGGCCATCATCTTCTTCGCGTCCATAGGTAATCGCCGCCGGGCGCCTGCCGTCTGCTGGCGTGTCGGGGCTCTGCCGGCGTGTAGACGATGCTTCGCAGGCGGGGCGGCAACCGGCGGGGGTGCTTGGCGCTCCTCAGCTGGGATCGCGCGCAGCCCGAAACGACTCGCGCTTTCCTGGCCGCTAGGAGACGTCTCCTTTGCAAAGGGGGAAGCGGGCCCCACGCGCGTGGGTCAGCCCGCGCCCGCGGTGCTCCCTGAGTGCCGTCGGCTACCAGTGACGCCCGGTGACTTCAGGGGGGCGAGCTCCATCCTCGTTGTCCTGGCGTCGCAGGCCCTGGCAGCCGCGGGTCGGCCACTCGAGGAAGGCATCCAGTGCTCGGCTTGGGCGGAAATGTCGGTCTTGAGTGCATCACAGGGCGCCGTTCTGGAAGCGCCCCGTCGGGGTCTCTGGAGCAGTGACTTGAGAACGATGGGACGTGGGCATCCGGCGTTGATGCGCTCTGGCGACTGTCGCTCCGGCAGCTCATGGTCCCAACGCTCACGAGCTGCCATGGCCAGAGCTGACGCCCCACAAGCCTGAGTTGAGGCGCTGCTTCTTCCGCAGGGGACGTGGGTGACCCAGACAGGTCTGATGGGAGCAGCGTCCCCAGTATGGTCCTGGGCCAGGCATGTTCTTCCCACAGCGCCTTTTATTTACTCAGCCCCCTGGAGCCAGGGACATGCCAGGACGCTGCACCCAGCCAGGGTACAGGAAGCCTCTGGGTGGCCAGCGAGCAGCTGGGGTGCAAGGGGTGCCAGTGCAGGGTCCGTGAGTGCAGGGCATGCTGGGAGCCAGAGAGGCCCGTGGAGAAGCCCTGGGACGAGAGGCAGGCAGTGAGCAGGGGCCGCCTGCACAGGCTGCTCCTAGTGGGAGACACTGGTCGGGCAGCGGTGAAGGTGCGTGGTCTGAAGACGCTTAGATGCTGTCCTCAGGGCCGCGACCAAGACAGCTGAGCATTGTGGCAGGGCCAGTCCACAGGATGGAGTCTCTGAGAGGGAGCCAGTGTGGAGGCTGGAGGGCAGGGGGCAGCCTGGAGATGGCAGCCGACGCACGTGCACGGGGCGGGAGAGCCTCGGGCCAGGTCCTTGTGTCTCCGGAAGAGGGCATTGTGTCTTGGCCGGAAGAAGGACATCTTGCATCTGTGTTTCTGAGCAAACGGAATGAGTGGTGTGTGAACCACGGAGCATTAGCAGGTGTGTCCCGGGCTCAGTGGCATTTCTCAGGTCTGGAGGCACGTGTGGGCTCCGGTCACTCGGTCACTCGCAGGACGGAGGGCCCGAGCAGGTCCAAGTGGCAGGTGCGGCCCTAGGAGGAGCAGAGCGGGACACTTTGGGGAAAGTGTCTCCCGTTGGAGAAGGAAGGGGCGTGTTGCCAGCGGAGCCTGGAGGGGCCTTCCTGGCTGTGGGCCCACCGGCACCTCCTGCGTCTTGGCTTGTGCCCCTGCAGAATTGGGCGAGTGCCCCTGTCTTGCTGTGCTCTCTGCAGGTGGGACTCCTGGGGGGGCCAGGCAGCAGACCCCATGGGTCCCCGTGGGCGGCTTCTCCCTGGTACGCTCGGGAGACGGACAGCATGGTGGCGCCTGTGGTGCCGTCACGACTTTCCTTGGGGATTTAGGAGCTTGATCCTTGGTGTCATGGCGAGGCTGTGGATGTGTCCATGGGAGGCAGGTGTGCTGGGCCCGGCCGTGGCTGAGAGTGATGTGTCTGTCTCCCCACAGGGCTCCATGTGTTCCCCACATTTGTGGTGTATGAGCTCACGGTGCTGGTGTTCCTTACCTTGTCTGTGGTGGTCATGAAGGTATCGACACTTTCTCTGGTTGCTTGGGAGGTCGCTAGTTTCACGGGCCATGTGGCACCGTCCCTTTCCCGTGGCCCGATGTCCCACTGGGTGCTCGGCATGTCCTCGGAGCCGGCCCTGCCCGCCACCTCGGGAAGCCAGGCTGGGGGTGGCTGGGCTGGGGCAGGGCGGGCCTGGCTGTGGTGTGGTCGTCGTGTTGACCGTCTCCAAATCCAGGAAGGTTGAACTGGGAAGGACCCGGCATTGGGATGGGAGGACGCCTGTCCACCTCGGGAGGCGTCCCTCTCCTGGTGGATGCTAGCGTGCGTCTTAGACACCGACAGTGTCTCCAGTGCTTCCTGCAGACTGGGCACTTAAGTCAGGGTGGTGACTTCAGTAGCCACTGGCCCTGGGGCTAGACAAATGGCAGAGTGTTTCCCATTCTGCATTCCGCTGCCGACCTTCAGCCAGGGGGCCTCACGGGGATGGGGGTGGGGGACCTCTGTGTCCCAGGACGGGGCAGGCCCTGAGGACATCCTGTTCCTTCAGGGTGGGGCTGGGCTCCCGCTGAGCCCCTGGCTCTGGGACGCACGCGGGGTGTCCCATGGTGACCGGGGATCCTGCGGGCACAGAGCGCACAGGCAGCTTGGACCTTGTACCCGCACCCCCCACCGGGCCCTGCTGCGTGCATGGGGCCCGTCCCGTCGAGCATTGACGGTGGCCCTCTCCTGCAGTTTGTGCTGGCGGCGCTGGTCCTGTCCCTCATCCTGCCCAGGGGCAGCCAGTGTATCAAGTGGATCGTGTCCGCCGGGCTGGCGCAGGTCAGCGAGTTCTCCTTCGTGCTGGGCAGCCGCGCACGGAGAGCCGGCATCATCTCCCGGGAGGTGAGTGACGCCCTGGGCTGTGGGCAGGCTCGGCCCGGGGCGGCGCGAGGGGGCCGGCGGGCAGGAGGCTGAGTGCTGCTCACCGGGAGGGGCGGCCCTGTGGGCCCGGGCCCGGCTCTCTCCACGCAGGCCGTGGGGTGCTCGAGGGAGAATACCAGTCGGCAGGTGCGGGCCCTGCCGAGCCGCTCGCACTGGCAGTGGCGACACACTGAGGCCGCCTCCAAAGACAAGCAGGTGTTTCTCCTCGTCCTGGGCCTGCCCTGACCCGGCGTTTGCCTGTGCAGGTGTACCTCCTCGTCCTGAGCGTGACCACGCTCAGCCTCTTGCTTGCCCCGGTGCTGTGGAGAGCCGCTATTCTGAGGTGCCTTCCAAGACCCGAGCGCCGGGCCAGTCCCTGACAGCCCGGGGCTGCCGTGGCCTTTGGGTGGGTCCCTCAGGAGGGAGGAGCACACAGATGGCGTCCTTGCCCAGCTGTGAGCCGCACACCTGGATGGATCACACTCCAGCAGAGGTGTCCTGTTGTCATGTTTTCCAGCATTGCAGAATGTTCCTGTCACACGTTAGAATCTTCCAGAGTAATTTATTTGCAGCCAATCGGTTATGCACAGTAGAACTGTTAACACTGCATTTTACAAATCGCCTTGACTATTTTGCCTGGATGTGCCTTTTTTTCCGAAATTATGATTGACTTCTTATTGTTAATTCATCAGTTCTTTTTTTAGTGAACAAGAAAATTTAGAAAGCTGTTTTTAATTTATTGTACAACTTCAGAATTATGATCTGTGGGTCAAATATTTGTTATTAAACATTTCTGTGATATGAAGTTTTAATTCTGGCTATGAGTTTGAAAGCTTACTCTTAATCCTAAAACCTATGTTTTCTAAAATGAGACAAGTATCTTATAGATGTCTTCTGGCCTTCCATTATGATATTTTAAATAAAACACTTTTATGCCAGTTTCTATCTGGTGTATACTTGAGATATTTGGTTTCGGATCACAAGCGTATGCATTCTTTCATAGAGATCATTGACCATCAGAATATAACTCACTGAAGGTCTGTATTTACTAAGGTTTGTGTTGAACTAGTTGCTGCACAAAGCCTCGGCCCACTTTTTGAGTTGGTCTCTGTGTTGCCACACTGTTCCAAGACTGGATCCGTGTGGTTCTGTCTGAAGAATTGATGTCTGCCTCTTTTTTGAGTAGGGCACAATCATAGCTCGCCACAGTCTCGAGGTCTTGGGCTCCGGCGCTCCTCCCACCCCGGCCTTGGAGTGGCTGGAGCTACAGGCGTGCCCCATACCTGGCCAATTTGTAAGTTTTTGTGGAGTCGAGGTCTTGCCATGTTGAATGCCTGGGCTCAAGCCATCCTCCCACCCTGGCTTCCCAGAGTGCTGGCCTGGCAGGCCGGAGCCTCTGTGCCCGGCCACGCCTCCATTTTGACAGTCAGACGATGTCTTTTGGTGGTCACCTGGCAGATAAGGTACTGGCCCTGCAGGCGTATCCCTGAGGGCTGCTGTCTCCGGCCTTTTGTGCCGCTCTGACCGAATACCTGACAGCCTCCCTTCCCTGAAGATGCCTGGAGTGCCGAGTGGTGAGTCCCTGCGCAGAGAAGCTGCCCACCCTCCTGGGGCCACGAGGGCCTATCGGGCAGATCCCTGGGGCCTGAGTGCCTCCCGCAGCCCTGCCCGTGTGCACAGGGTGGGACTTCACGTGGGAGCTGAGGGCTCAGAAGCCTCAGAACCCCAGCGGGCACTTTGGTGTTTCTTCTGCAGTTGCACGTTTTTAAGTGGACGGTTAAAATTTAACATGTTTATTGTGTACAACATAGCGGGAACTTTTTTTTTTTCAGTTGGAGTCCCACTCTGTCGCCCAGACTGGAGTGCAGTGGCCGCTCCCAGCCACCGCAGCCTTGACCTGCTGGACTCCGGCGATCCTTCCGCCTCAGCCTTCCAAGTAGCTGGAAGTACCATGCCCAGCTAACTTTTGATTTATTGTAGAGATGAGGTCTCGCCAAGTTGCCCAGGCGAGTCTTGAACCCATGGGCTCAGGCAGTCCACTCACCTCAGCCTCCCAAAGCACTGGGATTACAGGCTGAGCCACCAAGCCCAGCCAGCGGGAACTTTAAACCAGAGTTTTCCCATAGACTTGGCTAAGAGCCTCACCATATGACCAAAATACTCGCCGCAGCGGCCAGCGGTGCCAGGGCTGGTGTTGCTGCGTGTCTGAATGGCGGGTACAGACACAGGCAGGAGCTCTCTGAGTAAGCGCCGCCCCAAAGCTGGGCAAGGACGTGAGAGCACATGCTTGTCAGAACACAGCGAGGGCTCTGTGTGTGCCCAGGCGTCGCCACCTGGCGCCTTTCTCCCTGCTCGCTGTGTGCGCCGCAGCGCCGGTGTGGGGGTGCCGGCCTGTGGCCATGTGGCCCCCACTCACTTGCCTGTGGCCATGCTCCTGTCCTGTGCTGGTGACACGCTCTCCTGGGCACACGTATCTGGGATGCAGGGAGGCTCTGGGACAGCCGTGTCTGTGTCTCCAACATCTGTGACCACCAGGGGCTTCTTGGCTTTCTTGAACCGGCTGACCCTGTTTGAGACATGTCACTGTGGGATGAAGCCGTGGATAAAGAAGCCCCGTGGTGACAAGGGACGCGTCGGAGGGACCTTGGCCCGAGATTCCAGGCAGCTCGTGGAATCACTCTGTGAGCCCTCACCAGAGCACCTGCGCCCCGGGCTGTGTGCCCACTCCTGTCTCCGCCCCCGGCAGCGTCTCCCACACCAGACTGGTCTGCCCGCCTGGCCCAGCAGCGTCTGCTAGACCCGTGGCCCCGCCCCTCCACCACTCTGCCCACCATGCCCATCCTGCGCCCCGCAGGACACAGGCCACCTGCCCCTCGTGCTCCCCGGTCATGTGTCCCGTGGGCTCTCGCGTTTCCCGCCGCCCAGCTGTTGCGTGTCCCCAGAATGGCATCGGGGGCTGGGCTCAGGACTCCCGTGCAGACACATGAGCTGGAGCCGATGGCCTTGTTGTGATGTCTCATCTTGAAGCTGCAGATGTGAGTCTGGCTAAAGAGCCAGCGCCACCCAGTCAACACCTGAGCCCACCTTATAGGATCACACCCCAACCCAGGGTGCGGGGACAGGTGTGGTGCCTCACAACAGCCGCCTGGAGACCGCTGTCGGCTGCCTCTCGGGGAACTTGGGAAGTGCTGCGCTGGGGTCCAGGGAAGGCAGCATCGCCGAGGCCAGCGTCCTCGTAGGGCCGCAGTGGCTGGGCCTCAGGGGTCTCTGAGCCTCCTGGAGTCACACACAGAATTGTGTATGTGTGAGCACGTGTGTGTTTAGGTTCAGGTGCGGTCGCGTACACAGGGTCATATGCAAGTTTGAGTGCACGTCCAAGTGTGCATAGGTGCCTGTGCCTGCATGTGCAGGTGCGTGTGTACATGTACACTTGTGCATTCACAAGAGAGGGGCCGCACCTTCGTTTCTTACTTTTCATTACAGAATCGTGCACATATGGAAGGGTGTGAATACCACCAGTTTTCAGCCTCATGAATTTTCACTGGACACACGTGATTGCCTGAACCCAGATCAAGAAGCACAGCCCTGCCATGCCCCGAGCCCCCCGTCCCCGCGCCCCCTGCCCAGCAGCGTCTGTGCTGGCAGGGTCCGTGTGCCTGTTCCGTGCTTTGTGGTCACGGAGCCTCACGCAGTGTGGCCTCTTGTGTCTGGCGGCCTCTGCTCAGTGCTGAGAGGAGCTTCACTCTGTGACTGCCCACAGCTGCAGGTGGGTCATCCAGAGCGGGACTCCCTTGGGGCTGGCCTGGCCTTTCTACTGTTGGGGAGCCCTGGGCAGGTCCCAGTTCCGGGCTTTTACACCCAGTGCCGCCCACAGATGCGCAAGCTAGGGGGTGTCTTCTGACAGGCACGTGCACCCATTTTTCCTGGGCCTGGTCTTGGGCGTGGAGTGGAGTTGCCAGGTCACAGGTGTGTGTTTCGATGGGGAATCCGAGCCCGCTGTTCAAAGGATTTGCCACGCTTTACACTCCCACCACTCGTGTGCCACGGGCTTGGCCAGCACTGGCTGCTGTCAACCCTTTGCCTTTTAGCCTTTCTGATGGGTGGGAAAGTGTCTCCTGCGCCTTTAGTTTGCATTCTCCTGAGTATGAAAGAAACTGAGAAGCTTTTCACATGCTGCTTAGTCATTTGGATTTCTTCCTTGAGAGGCTTCAAGTCTTTGGCCTGCTTTATACCTGTGTTCTTTTGTGTGTCGATGTGTAGTTCTTGGTGTATTCTGAATGTAAATTCTTTATTAGATATATGAGTTATGAATATCTTCTCCAATTTCTGGGTGTTTTTTGAAACTGCTTTTAATGAGCAAGCGTTTTAAATTTTGAAAAAGTCCCACTTATGCATTTTTTAAAAATCCTGCGTGTTCCTCCTATTCTATTTTTCAAATCCTTGTTTATCCTAAGGTCCTGTTTTCTTTAAGAACATCTAATTTTTGCTTTCACAAAGCTAACATTAATTTAAGGTGAGGGGTGGATCCAAGTTCATTTTTTTCTCCCCATGTGGAAATCCAGTCGATCCAGCTCTGTCTGTTAAAAAGGCTTTCCTCACCCCATTAGAGGCACTGCGCCTTTGCCGAAATCATGTAAGTGTATGTATGTGGGCCAGTGCTGAGATGTCCTGTTCTTCCTCACGGATCCATCTGGTGACTTGTGTCTGTCTTCATGCCATCACCACGTGGCCCTGATGTGGCCCTGGAACCTGGCAGTGTGACCCCTTCAGCACCCTCCTTCTTCCTCTTCAAGGTTATCTTGGAGCTACCGGGTCTGTCGGTAGACTAATGCGTTTCAACCAGGTTCTCCCTGGAAAATCCCAAACTCCACGTTGACCAAACAACACACTTCTGGAGAACTCATGGGTTAAAGCTGAGGTTTCCAGAGAACCTTAAAATTATTATGACCTGAATGGAAAGGAATATACAGCATGTCAAAGTGTGTAGGATGAAAAAATTAGCTGGGCTCGGTGGCTCAGCCTGTCATCCCGCGCCTTTCGGAGGCTGAGGTGAGTGGGTTGCCTGAGCCCGCCGGTTTGAGACCCACCTGGGCAGGCGAGACCTCATCTCTACAATAAATAAAAAATTAGCCGTGCATGGTAGTGTGCGCCTGTAATTCCAGCTACTCGGAAGGCTGAGGCAGGTCAAGGCTGCGGTGGCTGGGAGTGGCCACTGCACTCCAGTCTGTGCGACAAAGTGAGACTCCAACTCAAAAAAAAAAAGAAAAAATTGGGGCGTGGAGGGAGAAATGCCTAAAACACATAATCATCTAAGCTCCCACCTTAGGAAGCTAGAAAAGCAGGAGCACGTTAAAGTTAACACGAGCAGAAGAAAAGAGAGAATTAGCGCAGAAATCAACAGAGAAAATTAATGAGACCTAAAGATGATCTCTGAAAAGATTAAATAAACCTATAAACTTCCAACCAGGCT